TAAACACAAGCATAGAGATTAGGATTTACAACATATTTTGGGGGGACACAATTCAATCCATAACAAAAAGTGATCAAAAGTTTAAATTCCTAAATAAGGAAGAGTTGCATTTTCATGATGTAAAAACTACAAATGAACCATCTCCCCCACCACTACCAGAGGCCATGATTCAGTTTTGGATATTAGAAAACCTTTGTCATGATAGTTTCACTTGGGAGGAAAATTTACCTACATTTGATAAGGCAAAAATAGTAATACACTAGATGACGTCTTGCAATTAATACCATAAGCAAATAATTCCACCATGAAACTCTTTGAGGAAAAAAATATAAAAATGAGGTTAAGAAAAGATAACTAAACCTTTGTCAAAAGACAAAAATACCCCCCATGTTCTATCCAAGACCTCAGCTCACCAATACATGTTAAACAGCTGTCATGTTTTGGGAGCAGAATCTAACATTTTCCAGGTCAGGGTACCCAATGTGAAGTTTGCATTTCACTCTGACCCTCCTCTTCAAGTTTCCTGCCTCCTCCAATTTGATTAGAAATTAGCAAACGTATTCAGCCATTTTTTCTTTCCTAAGGTTGTTGGTGATCCTAGTATCTACAACCCAGCCAACTTTGCAGAAAACCACAGTTTAGATTGAAAATCACTTTAGGTTTCTGGCTCATAAGTAGTACTGCACATCTAATTAGCCCAACAATTGGTCCCTGTGATAAAATCAGCTAATTTTATGTTCAAATGGCTGCTCTGTGGTAAGCAATACTGTCACTCTAAACCTCACATATGAAGAAGTTGCTGAAGAAGCTGGTTACCAGGGGATTACTGAGGGCAAACCAGTAAAGACTATTATATTAGTAATCTAAGTCAATGTTATAGTTAGTGCATAGGAATCCCAGCAGGACTCAAATAAGATGAATTCCCAGAATTTAGTGACAGGGTCAGAAAATGTCAACCTTTAAAGGGGAAAATTGTATGTAGAAAATGAATGAAATGAGTCATTTGCAGAATTTTCCCACTCTTAGAAACAAACCCTAAATGTTTCGGATGAGACTATGGAGTTCTAGACCCTAATCTAGGAATGTTAAGAAATTACTCTCCCTAACTTAAACACCTCTGTTGTCTCAGGTATTTGGTTCAAGGCTACTCTAGGTATAAAACACAGGAAAGTTAATTCCAGGGTCCTTTCTTCAACTTCCTGCTCTCCTTCAATCAGCTGGAAAGCATTGGTGGAATCTGTTAGGAACCACGTTACTTTTGAAGTGAAAGGTAAAAGCACGTATCAACTTCTTTACGTGGGAAAGGTAATTATATTACCTGTCATAAGTATCGTCTTTTATCCCAGCCTCTGCTGTAGTAACTAGTTCTACATAGACCCTGATTAGCTTTATGTAGGTGCAACCTTACAGCACCTCACCTTCAGACTCATGCCATGTGCCTCTTGCCTCCTGTCCTAGAGACACAGTATCCTGCCTGAGACCATACATGTACAACCCAGAAGTGCACAGTGAATTCTGACCAACAGGGCATGGGATCCAACAGATAAATGCTTCCCTTTCTTCCCCTACAATGACTGGTCCTGAAGTATACGTCATAAGGCTTCTCAGAGGGTTCTGCAGGATCAAGTAACCAGTCACCAGTGGCAATAGCCAACTTGTCTTTGTTCTTCCTCCTTTTCTTTTTCATTTCCCCTGCCCTTTATTCCTGCTCCCTGGCACCACACACCTCAAGAAGTACTCACACACAAGCCTTTGTCTCAGGCTCTGCTTTCTGTGGGACCTAGACTAAGACAAAAATCACAGTGGCTACCCGTGTAAAAGGGGGCAGTTAGTTCTATTGTTCACTAGTGTAGGGTACACAGTGAGACATCATATCCTTTGGTGGCTGAAAAGGAAAACTACTTGATGCTTCATGGTGTGAATCTCCAGACAGGGAAAGGGGAGAGTAGTTCCTGGTGCTTAAAGGGAGGCCAGAAGGATATATTCTGACACAGTGCTTCTGGGTGGGGGCCATTGGCAATGGCTGCGTCAGGAATGGAAGAGCTCTCTGTGCTTGACTGAGCTCAGCCAAGGATCCCCAGATCCAGGGCTTTCAGTGCTCAGCTCTTTCCATTAGTGGCCCCTCATGCTGTGGATTTCCAGAAAGGGAAAGGAAACAGTAGTTTTTGGTGGAGCACCTCTCATGGCCAGGAAGATCTATGTTCATGGCAGTCTCATACTCTTGTGATAAGCCATAGCAAGAGTAGAAAGCTTAGAATCCTGAGTCTCCCAACTTGGGAGCCAGGCTGGTATCTGCCCCTGCTCCCAGAACACATACACACTCTTAGGGCAGTCTAGACTGCTTTGCTGTCTAATATGGTAGCCACTAGCCAAATGTGGCTATGGGAATATAAACTAATTAAAATAAAATGATAAAATTTAAAAATTCAGTTCCTCAGTCACACTAGCCACATGTTACGTGCTCAATGGCCACATATGAGTCATGGCTACTCTTTTGGACAGCACAGAATAGACCATCTCCATCACAGCAGAAAGTAGTATTGGAAGTGCTGGTCTAGAATCAAGACTCTCTGGGTCTTAGTTATTTATCCCTGAGAGAAATACTGGACTTTCTACTCATCTATCAGTGGCATTTAGGGCTAGTTTTATTTATGTGATAAAATAAAAGAGACATGACAGTATTTGGGTCCTGAGTTAGTGATAAAGCAGTAATATGTGGTTATATTAAACAACAGCAATGGATACCTAGATTCTGGGGACATAGGAGACCCCAATCTTTATGAAAAAAGACCCTAGTTTTAAAAATCAAACAAAAGAAACAGTATCTATCTGTCTGTCTGTCTATCTATATACTTAATTCCCATATGCTTGGAGTGCAGAACACTCAAAAAGCATTTGGTTAGAAAAACAAAAGATTGTTGTTGTTGTTAGGTGCTGTCAAGTCATTTCCAACTCATAGCGACCCTTCGTACAAAAGAAAAAAACACTGCCTGTTCCTGCACCATCCTCACAACTGTTGCTATAATTTAAGATGTACATTTAGATTATAATCTAACATTCTCAAAATCTAAAAAAATAATTGAGGCAATGATGACAACAATTAACTAATACTCCATACCTAAATTTTATCTCCTATATATACATATATGTATATATGTGTATATATATATGTATCAGCTATCTAAAATCAACATGGGCTCCATTCAAAGCTAAGAGTAAGAAACTATATTGGGACAAAAACTGGAAAATAATATAAGTAAGCTTCTTTGTCATTATATGGAAGGCACTGACTATTTGAACCTAAAATCTTAATTGTGTACACCAGAATATCATCTCATTTTGAGACATTCTGGAGAGAAATGAATATCCTTTCAGGTTCTCCTAGTATTACTGTTAATACTATAAGGGACTATGAATCATTATATCAGGCAATTTATATGTAGTATTAATCACTGTAATTTAATATTAATTACTAACATTGCCTTTATAATTAAATATAATGAGATTACACCAATCAGAACTACTTTTTAAGTACTTCCTTGGGGTTGATTCTCTACAGTGTCTAGCATAGTGTCTTGCTTGCTGTAGGCATTACCCTATCATTTCCCAAATGTTGGTGTTCCTCAGGTCCCATGCCTTCTTCTGTTATCTCTTATCACTTTTCTTAGGTTATCTTATCAGCTCCTAGGGCTTCAATTACTAAATATATGTTGATGACTCCCAGTAGTATTAAAGACTAATATTTATTGAGCACTTTACAAGCATTAACCCAGTTAACCGTCACAGCAACCCTCCCTAAGAGACAGGAACAGCCCAAGTCTCCCCCTATCCACCAGATGGACACCCATCTCATAGGTACCTCAAACTCCACATTTCCAAAATTGAATCTACCTTCCCCACAAATCTGCCACTACTCCTCCATATCATTGCCCATACCTCCTCCATCCTTTGCCACATGAGCTGCCTCACAACAAGGCAGATGGCTTCTCCCAGGGCAAGTGATCCCAGAAAGAGTGAAAGAGCCCCTAGAGGGAAGTCACAATCTGTTAATAACCTAAACTCAGAAGTGACATCCCAACACTTCTGTCATTCACTAGAAGTGAGTCACTAAATCCAGCCCACACTCAAGGGGAGAAGATTACACAAGGATTGGGACCTTTGGGGCTTATTCTAGAGGTTGCCTACCACAAGGAGCTAGGTTCAATTATTACCCAAACCCATCACAGCCTTGGAGGGTAGGAGGGAGGGAAGGCTGAGGAATGAGTGGGGACCTGTCAGCATCTTCCTCAGCTCTCTCTGCTTTTTGGAGTTGAACTGACCATGAGTTTCACGTCTTGCATGTTTTTCACCAGTTGGCACACTCCTGGCCTAGTCTTCTCTTCACTGATGTCTCTCTGCCACCATGAGGGACAGGTAGAGAACCCCACATTCCAGAGGATGTTGCATACCAGGCTTTGTACATAATTCTAAAATAGATTAGCATTACAGTAGCTACTAGCTCTATCATTAACTGTGAATCCAAATTAGAAAATATCATGATAAGTAAATTTTATCTTGAAGCTCTGAAAAATAAAGAAACTCAAGTTGTTTTTAGAGGCACTAAATCTCTACTGGAGGAGATTTAAAAATATTATACAGGTTAATACTGAAAATAACTGTTTCATGATGTGCTGTATATATTTCTAAGTAGTATTTTTATTATAATCCAATTTACTGTTACTGGGAGGCAGGAGAGAGAGAACGAATGTATAACAAGCTACAGATTCATCTGGATGAGTTGATTTTAAAGAAAAATACTAAAGGTCCACCTTAAAATCTCATTGAACAACGTATATTGAGCACAATGGCTCTACTCCGAGAGGGTGACACAAATTTTTTTAAAAAATTTACAAATGCAACACAGTTGCAGGTGAAAAGAAACCAGACTATTCCTCTAAAGGCAGGAACCTAAAGTGAGTCAGGATGACCCAACCAGGCACAAAAGTGAGAGCAGCCCCTACCTTCTGGTAGTCCTCTTTGGACCTCAAGGCCACCTCCATTTGCTTGGAGGAGGTAGGATAGATGGCTGAACGGTACTGAGTGCCATGTTCGTTGCCTTGGCGCATGCCTGGTAAAGTAGAAAACAGAGAGAATTATTGGGGTTGAATAGGTAACAATGCCAGAATCCAACTAAGCAAAACCCTGACATGTTCAGGCATTTATTTTTTATGTTCTCTATGACTGATATGCTGCTAAGTGCTTGTTTTAATTTCATTTTGACATCATTTTCTTTAAACAAGCATGAAATGCATCTGTTTTTTTCCTAAATTTATTTATTTTGTTGCTGTTGTATGCAAAGCATACACCAATTCAACAAGATCTTGGAAGAAAAAATAGGGACAACGGTAGGAGCCCTAATACATGGCATAAACACAATACGAACCATAAATAACAATGCACAAGCACCAGAAGAGAGACTAGATAAACGGGAGCTCCTACATGTCAAACACTTATGCTCATCAAAAGACTTCACCAAAAGAGTAAAAAGACTACCTACAGACTGGGAAAAAAATTTTGGCTATGACAAATCCGATCAGCATCTAATCTCTAAAATCTACAAGATACTGCAAAACCTCAACAACAAAAAGTCAAATAACCCAATTAAAAAATGGGCAAAGGATATGAACAGGCACTTCGCCAAAGAAGATATTCAGGTGGCTAACAGACACATGAAGAAATGCTCACAATCATTAGCCATTAGAGAAATGCAGATCAAAACTACAATGAGATATCATCTCACCCCAACAAGGTTAGCATTAATCCAAAAAACACAAAATAATAAATGCTGGAGAGGTTGTGGAGAGACTGGAACACTTATACACTGTTGGTGGGAATGTAAAATGGTACAACCACTTTGGAAAATGATATGGCACTTCCTTAGAAAGCTAGAAATAGAAGTACCATATGATCCAGCTATCCCGCTCCTTGGAATATATCCTAGAGAAATAAGAGCCATCACATGAAAAGATATATGCACGCCCATGTTCACTGCAGCACTGTTCACAAAAGCAAAAAGATGGAAACAACCTAGGTGCCCATCAACGGATGAACGGTTAAACAAATTATGGTATATTCACACAATGGAATACTACACAACGATAAAGAGCAGCGATGAAGCCGTGAAACATAACATGGAGGAATCTGGAGGTCATTATGCTGAGTGAATTTAGGCAGTCACAGATGGGAAAATATTGTATAAGATCACTATTATAAGAACTCAAGAAAAGGTTTAAACACAGAAGAAAACATTCTTTGATTGTTACGAGGGTAGGGAGGGAGGGTGAGGGCTGTTCACTAACTAGATAGTAGATAAGAATTATCTTAGGTGAAGGGAAGGTCAGCACACACTACAGGGGGAATCAGCACAATGGGACTAAACCAAAGCTAAGAAGTTTCCTGAATACAGTCAGACACTTTGAGCGACAGAGTAGCAGGGGTAGGAGTCTGGGGCCCATGCTTTCAGGGGACATCTAGGTCAACTGGCATAACAAAGCTTCTTAAGAAAATGTTCTGCATCCTGCTTTGGTGAGTGGCATCTGGGGTCATAAAAGCTTGCAAGCATCCATCTAAGATGCATCAATTGGTCCTAATCACCTGGAGTAAAGGAGAATAAGAATACCAAAGACACAAGGAAAGTGTTAGCACAAGAGACAGAAAGGGCCCATAAACCAGAGTCTTCATCACCCTGAGACCAGAAGAACTAGATGGTGTCCAGCTACCACCAATGACCGCCCTGACAGGGAACACAACAGAGAGTCCCTGATGGAGCAGAAGAAAGGTGGGGTGCAGAACTCAAATTCCAGTAAGAAAATCAGATTTAATGGTCTGACTGAGATTGGAGGAACCCTGGAAAGCATGGCCCCTGGATTCTTTATCAGCCCAGAACTAAAACAATTTCCGAGGCCAACTCTTCAGAGGGGGACTGGGCTGGACTGTGGGACATAAAGTGATACTCGTGAGGAGTATGCCTCTTAGCTCAAGTAGATCCAAGTGACTAAATGGGCAGCTTCTGTCCGGAGATGAGACAGAAAGGCAGAGGGGGTTAGGAGCTGGTTGAATGGACATGGGGAATCAGGGGTGGAAAGGAGGAGTGTGCTGTCACAGTATGGGGACAGCAATTAGGGTCACGTAACAATGTATGTATAAATTTTTATATGGGGAAAAAAAGTAATTCATATATGAGAAAAACCTGTTTACTAAATCTCTTATGAGAAGCACAGGACATAGAGCTATAAGATCTTGTGTCAAGTCTGCCTCTACCACGTACATGCAAGTCACCTAGTCTTTCTGATTATAAGGGATTTTAAGGACTTAAACTAAAGGTCCACCACGTGTCTGTCAGTTTGTCACACTTTCGTGGCTTGCATGTTGCTGTGATGCTGGAAACTTTGCCACTAATATTTCAAATACTAGCAGGATCACTCTTGGTGGACAGGTTTCAGTGGAGCTTCCAGAGTAAGACAGACTAGGAAGAAGGACATGGTAGTCTACTTCTGAAAAAACTGGCCAGTGAAAACCTTGTGAACAACAGCAGAACACTGTCTGAAATAGTGCCAGAAGATGAGCTCCTCAGGTAGGAAGGCTCTCAAAATATGATTAGGGAAAAGCTGCCTCCTCAAAGTAGAGTTGACTTTAATGACGCAAATGGAGTTAAGCTTTTGGAACCTTCATTTGCTGATGTGGCATAACTCAAAATGAGAAGAAACAGCTGCAAAAATCCATTAATAATCAGAATGTGGAATGAACGAAGTATGAATCTAGGAAAATTGGAAGTCGTCAAAAATGAAATGGAAATAAACATTGATATCCTAGGCATTAGTGAGCTGAAATGGATTGGTATTGGCCATTTTGAATCAGACAATCATATGGTCTACTATGCCGGGAATGAAAAATTGAAGAGGAATGGCATCACCTGCATTGCCAAAAAGGATTTCAAGATCTATCCTGAAATACAAAGCTGTCAATGATAGGATAATATCCACAAGCCTACAACAAAGACCAGTTAATACAACTATTATTCAGATTTTATACACCAACCACTAAGGCCAGAGATGAAGAAATTGAAGATTTTAACCAATGTCTGCAGTCTGAAATTGATCAAACATGCAATCAAGATACATTGATAATTATTGGTGATTGGAATGAGAAAGTTGGAAACAAAGAAGAAGCATTGGTAGTTGGAAAATATGGCCTTGGTGATAGAAATGATTCTAGAGATCGCATGATAGAATTTTGCAAGAGCAATGACTTCTTCACTGCAAATACCTTTTTTCATCAACATAAACGGCAACTATACACGTGGACCTCAACAGATAGAATACACAGGAATCAAACTGACTACATCTGTGGAAAGAAGACAATGGAAAAGCTCAATATCATTAGTCAGAACAAGACTAGGGGCTGACTATGGAACAGAACATCAATTGGATCACAGAAGCACCTATGCAATGTGAAGTTGAAGTTAAAGAAAATTAGAACAAGTGCAGGAGAACCAAAGTACTACCTTGAGTATGTCCCACATGAATTTAGAGACCATCTCAAGAACAGATTTGACACATTGAACACTAATGACTGACGACCAGACGAGTTGTGGAATGACATCAAGGACATCATACATGAAGAAAGCAAGAGGACATTAAAAAGACAGGAAAGAAAAGACCAAAATCGATGTCAGAAGAGACTCTGAAACTTGCTCTTGAATGTAGAGTAGCTAAAGAAAATGGAAGAAATGGTGAAAATAGCTGAACAGAAGATTTCAAATGGTTGAGAAGACAAAATGAAGTATTATAATGAAATGTACAAAGACCCGGAGATAGAAAACCAAACGGAAGAACACACTTGGCATTTCTCAAGATGAAAGAACTGAAGAAAAAATTCAAACCTCGAGTTAGAATATTGAAGGATTCTACGGGGAAACTATTAAACGATGCAGGAAGCATCGAAAGAAGATGGAAGGAATACACAGAGTCACCATACCAGAATGAATTGGTCAACGTTCAACCATTTCAGGAGGTAGCATATGATCAAGGACCACTGGTATTGAAAGAAGAGGTCCAAGCTGCACTGAAGGCATTGGCGAAAAACAAGGCTTTAGGAACTGACAGAATATCAATTAAGATGTTTCAACAAATGGATGCAGCACTGGGAACACTCACTTATCGATGCCAAGAAATTGGGAAGACAGCTTCCTCATCAACCGATCGGAAGAGATCTATATTTGTGCCCATTCCAAAAAAAAAGGAGATTCAATAGAATGTGGAAATTATCGAACAATATCATTAATATCACACACAAGTAAAATTTTGCTGAAGATCATTCAAAAGCAGCTGCAGCAGTACATCGACAGAAACTGCCAGAAATTGAAGTTGGATTCAGAAAAGGACGTGGAACTAGGGACACCATTGCTAATGACAGACGGATCCTGGCTGAAAGCAGAGAATACCACAAAGATGTTTACCTGTGTTTTATTAACTATGCAAGGCATTTGACTGTGTGGATCCTAACAAATTATGAATAACATTAAAAAGAACAAGAATTCCGGAACACTTAATTGTGCTCATAAGGAACCTGTACTTGGACCAAGAGGCAGCCGTTTGAACAGAACTAGAGGAGAATGCGAGGTTTAAAGTCAACAAATGTGTGCATCAGGGCTGTATCCTTTCACCATAGTTATTCAATCTGTATGCTGAGCAAATAATCCAAGAAGCTGGACTATATGAGAAGAACATGGCATTAGGTTTGGAGGAAGACTGATTAACAACCTGTGATATGCAGATGATACAACCTTGCTTGCTGAAAATGTAGAGGACTTAAAGCACTTACTGATGGAGATCAAAGACCACAGCTTTCAGTATTAATTATACTTCAACGTAAAGAAAGCAAAAATTCTCACAGCTGGACCAATAAGCAACATCATGATAAATGAGGAAATTGTCAAGGATTTCATTTTCCTTGGATCCACAATCAACACCCATGGAAGCAGCAGTCAGGAAATCAAATGACACATTGCATTGGGCAAATCTGCTGTAAAAGACCTCTTCAAAGTGTTGAAAAGCAAAGATGTTACTT